ATTCAAATGCTGATTAACTTAATTGGCATAGGGTCATTTGCCTAGAAAAATTATTGGTTTGTGCCTGATACCTTGCAGCAGGTAGTATTTTGTCCCGCTGATTTATTTATTTAGTAAAACATTTTTATGCCGCCCCATTCGCCGAAGCCTCGGGGCGGTTCACATCAATAAATTAAAATAATTATAATATAAATTAAAATAATTATAATATAAATTAAAATATAAATATAAAATTAAAATACAGCAGCACAGTATAAAATAAGCCGCCCTGGCCAGATAAAACCAATAATGTTAACAGTTAAAATGCCGCTTGAATAAAAAGGTCTTCGCCTGGCGCCGAAAAACAAATAACAACGGCGCCAGGCGGACCTCTCTGGGGAGCGCGTTCCATAACTTAGGCGCCACCGCAGAGAAAGCCCTCCTCCGAGTACCCACCCTCCTAATTTCTTTCATGGAGGGTTCCCGGAGAAGGGCCTTCCCCGCCGATCTCAAGGGGCGGCTGGGCATATATGGATGCAAGCGCTCCTTCAGGTAACCAGGACCCAAGCCGTTTAGGGCTTTATAGGTTATCACCAACACCTTGAATTGGGCCCGGACTTCAATGGGAAGCCAGTGAAGCTGACGGAGAACTGGAGTCATGTGAACACAACGCCCAGTCCCCGTCAGCAGCCTGGCAGCTCTGTTTTGAACCAGTTGAAGTATCCGGACCGTCTTCAAGGGTAGCCCCACGTAGAGCGCATTACAGAAGTCGAGACGGGAAGTCACCAATGCATGTGTCACTGTCGCGAGGCAGTCATACTCCAGATAGGGGCGCAGCTGGTGGATCAGCCGAAGCTGGAGGAAAGCGCTCCTCGCCACTGCGGTCACCTGAGCTTCTAGTGAAAGCTCCGGGTCGAGGAGCACTCCCAAGCTGCGAACCTTGTCCCTAAGAGGGAGTGCAACCCCATTCAGAACAAGGTTCAGTTCACCCTCTCCAAAGCCAGAACCACCAACCAACAGGACCTCCGTCTTGTCTGGATTGAGCTTCAGTTTATTGGCCCTCATCCAGCCCATTACCTCGGCCAGGCACCGGTTCAGTACAGCCACTGCCTCACCTGGATTGGTGGAAAACGAGAGGTAGAGCTGGGTATCATCAGCGTACTGATGGTTCCGCAGCCCACACCTCCTGATGACCTCTCCCAGCGGTTTCATGTAAATGTTGAACAGCAATGGGGACAGAATGGACCCCTGCGGCACTCCATGGCATAGCTGCCATGGCGCAGAGCCATAGTCCCCCAACACCACCTTCTGGAACCGGCCATCGAGATAGGAGCGGAACCACTGCAAAGCAGTGCCTCCAACCCCCAATCCCGCAAGCCTGTCCAGAAGGAAACCATGGTCGATGGTATCGAAAGCCGCTGAGAGGTCCAGGAAAACCAACAGGGACGCACTCCCCCTGTCTTTCTCCCTGCACAGGTCATCATACAGGGCGACCAAGGCAGATTCAGTACCGTACCCGGGTCTGAAGCCGGACTGAAATGGGTCCAGATAATCAGTTTCATCCAAGAGTGCTTGGAGTTGTCCCGCCACCACTCGCTCTAACACCTTGCCCAGAAACGGGATGTTGGCCACTGGTCTATAATTAGTGGCCATCTCTGGATCCAGTGACGCCTTCTTCAGGACCGGTCGGACTACCGCCTCCTTTAAAGGGGCAGGCACCCGACCCTCCCTCAGAGAGGCGTTACTTCCAAAATCCAGGTCCCAATCCCGTGCTTGGAATTATTTATTAACCAAGACGGGCAAGGGTCCAATAAGCAAGTGGTGGGACGTACTCGTCCAAGCACCTTGTCCACATCATCGGGCCGCAATAACTGAAAGTCATCCAATAATTCTGGACCAGACGGCGGCATTGGCGTCTCCCTTAAAGCCTCTGTATCAACAGTGGAATCCAGCTCGTGACGAATCTGAGCGATTTTCTCCCTGAAATGCCTGGCAAAGTCGTCACAGCGGGCCTTTGAGGGTGGAATCAGGTCTTCTTTCGGACCTGGACAAACCAGGCCATGCACCACTCGAAAAAGCTCCGCCGGACGGCATTGTGAGGAGGCAATGGAAGCAGAAAAATATCTCTTTTTCGCCGCCCTCACCGCCACAGCATAGGCCCGATAGTGGGCTCTCAAGTGTGTTCGGTCAGATTCATCACGTGATTTCCTCCACCTACGCTCTAGCCGTCTCCCAACCTGCTTCATCGCCCTCAATTCAGGGGTATACCAAGGGGAAGAGCGGGCTCTGCCCGGTGGGAGAGGGCGCTTAGGAGCGATTGTGTCTACAGCCCTGGTCATCTCCCCATTCCACAGTTCGACCAGAGCCTCGACAGGAGCACCCATCTTGTCAGCCGGAAACTCCCCCAGGGCCTTCAGGAATCCTTCCGGATCCATCCGGCTCCGGGGGCGGACCCACACAATCGGGTCCGCACCCTTACAGAGGGAGAAGTCGCTCTCGAGCACAAACCTCACCAGGAAGTGATCTGACCATGACAGGGGAGTCAAGCATAAATTCCTCACCCTCAGACCACCCTCTTTCTGTCCCGTCGAGAAAACCAGGTCCAGGGTGTGTCCACGTTCATGGGTCAGGCCGATGACATGTTGAGACAGCCCCATGGCCGCCATGGAGACCATGAAGTCCTGAGCCGCCCCGGTCAGATCAGTCTCGGCATGGAGATTGAAGTCCCCCAGGACCAACATCCTGGGGGTCCTCAACACCAGGTCCGAGACGATCTCTGTCAGCTCAGGCAGGGAGACTGTTGGGCAGAAGGGTGCACGGTACACCAACAGAATCCCCAGTCTGTCTCGGTCGCCCAACACCAAGTAGAGGCACTCCAGCCCCGGCCTTGAGGGGACCGGAAGTCCTGTGAGGGAGATGGAGGCTCGGTAAACCAAAGCGACCCCCCCTCCCCTCCCCTCTGGGCGCGAACAGTGCTGAACCAGATACCCGGGCGGGCATGCCATCATCCTGACCTTTAGCTATGGACAAGAAAAACCAGAGAGGATCCACTGGGGATGTACAATCAAGAGAACATCTATAGTTTATTCAGACATACAGGAAATATATGCAGCATGTAGGTAGGCCCCCAAGGGACTACAAAAATGGCACCTGTACAGAATGATTTTATAGCCTATTTCAGTTACATACTCAGGTTGGAGGAGGGGAGATCAGTTTGCTGAAGCTAAACAATAGGGTTCAATGAGATTAAAAGGAAGGTAACCAAAGGAAGAACTTGAGGAAAGGAAAACATTAGCATGTCTAAGGTATGCCTTCAAAGGAAGAATGTCAGGACATTGAAGGTGTGGGTTGGAAGCAAGACCTGCAACATGGTTTCCTGATCAGATCCTGGATCAAACCTTAGGCCTAAAACTGTTACTATAGAGCCTGGCTTTCAGCAGCCATATTATGGCAGAACCTTTGCTCATTTTGTCATGACATTATGTTAGTCAGAGATGATAGGAACCATTGACCAAAATATCTGGAGGGCCTCAAATTGCCCACTTCTGCCCTGGACAGATTCTTAGCCTGCTTATTTTAATGATATTGAGTAAACAAAGCAAACCCTCTATATCAATGTGTTGTCCCAGTTTAACAGAACTATTTAACCTGCAGTTTTTGAAGGGGGAAATTAAGGGGCACTCAATGTGATTTAAATGTTATATTAACTGGAATTTTCAACTGGAATGCTTGCAGTGAACAGGAAGTGGAAAAAGATTTGGGGGTGGGAAGTCCCACGTATTAAGAAATCTCCTGTGGAGTCCCTGCTGCTCTCTGCACTTTCCTTGGCCAAGCCCAATGGGTACAAAATCCTCCAGGCCCCACCCTTTCCTTGGTCACACGCAGATCACACAACAAACATACCCGGGGAGATTAACAAATGGACAATTAGAATCACAGCGGCAATCTTTATCCATGCATTAAGACAAAGTTGCAAGGGACAGGATGGTATCATGGCTGCATAGCCTCTCCATGCTTGCAATTTCAAATATCTTAAGGCGTATATAAGAATGTGTACAACAAACATGTGTACAAACAACCATTATGAATTGGGCTGAGGTAGAGTTAAGACAGTGGGTGCAATCCCTTTTCCAAATCTCCCTATTTTGGGATATGTCACATAAACAAGCCATGACCTATTGGCAACAAATTATCAAGAATTTGTTTCCAGTTCAGCACAGCTGCTTCCAGAACAGCCTTCCCCAACCTGGTGCCCTCCAGGTACATCAAACAGCAATTCTCTGCATGCCCGGCCATGCTGGCTGGGAATGACATGAGTTACCGTCCAACACATCTGGAGGGCATCTGGCTGGGGAAGGCTGTTCTGGAAAACCTTTTTCTTCCAACGTCATCATTTTGAGTTCCAAACAGAAGAAATATTTTCTATGCTTTGCGATACTCTTGTATGACTGAAGCCTTTGCTGTCCTGGTACTGCCAGTTATCCTGCAAACTGTGTGTTATCTGCTCATTCTGCATTTCTGTAAATCCAAATGTCCTTCACGAGGAGCATTCCCAGAGAGACTGGGAGCAGGAAAGAGCCACGGGTGGGAGTGGGGACTTGTCTTTCTTCACAGTCTTCATGGCAGCAGCTGCCAGGGCCTGTTTGGTGCCTGAGATTCTGGCTGTAGGCCAGTTGGGTGGGTGGTCTGTAGTCGCAGGCTACATAGTGATAATGAATTGGTTTAATTTTAATGCCATTGCATTGCTGCTATTGTTTTAGAAACTATACATTTTGTAAATTGCTGTGCATGTAGCTGATTTAATTTTGTTTTGCTTTGAATTTCTTGTGCCTTGTTTATATTGTATTTTAGTGTATCTTGCATTACTGTATTTTGTAAACCACCCTGACAGCCTTTTATGAATAAGTGGTGGTACAGAAATTTAACATCATCATCATCATCATCATCATCATCATCCACTCAAGAGTCTCTGGTATATGATGGCCCACTTCTTTCTTCCCTGCCCCCATGTGAATTTGCAGGATGCCTTTGCAGCATTCCACGTCAACAAGCCATTGGTGAAGAAATTTTTGAATTCGCTGCTGATTGGGGAATTGGCACCGGATCAGCCCAGTTTTGAGCCCAGCAAAAATGTAAGTCTGTCCAGATTCCTGGTAAATGAATGTGAGGTATGAACTAGTGGAGAAAGAAGGCCCTTCTCTCTGTATCATGATGATCAGACACACACTTTCTGAGAACGAAAGGGAGAGTGTCTTCTGTGTGACTGCTCCCAAGCATTGAAATCCTGCCAAGTGAGACCAGACTAGCTCCATTTTGTTATCTTTCTGCAGGGAGGTAAATACATTTTTACCTACCTGGCTTTTGTCTGAAAAGCTGATGTCTTTGCTCAAGAAGGTTGTAACTGGTGGGTGCTATTTTGATTTCTTTTTTAGTGATGCAATTTATTTCCTTTCATGTCTTAATTTAAATTATTTTTAGCTATTTTGAGCAATCTCTGTACTGAAAAGGTGGGAGAAATTTAATTCATAAATACACTAGACTTTCTCGTTCATTTTGTAGGGACTAGCTTGATGATCTGCTTGGTCTTTTCAGCTGTATGCAGGTCTTCAAAACTGTAGGTGTAGAGGGACTTCCCTGTGTTGAGTGGGAATATCTGAATGCAGATGTTAACCATGTTCCTCTGAATATGGTTCAATCTCCCTTCACATGATCCAGGTCTACTCAGGAAGTGCATGGTATCCAAGTGCATGGCTCCATAGCCTCCATGCTTATGATTTTGAATACCTTCTGGCTTCTATGAGATATGAATAAACCTCGTGGTGCCACAAATATCCCCTTCCAATGAGGAGCAGTAACCCCCAGCAAAGCCTCCGCTTCCTGCGGCCCCATGTAGTGGGATGAAAGAAGGACCATGACTAATCGGAAGGACCGTATCCCTCAGTGGTAGAGCATGTGCTTCCCATGCTAGAGTTGCTGGGTTCACCAGTTGAAAGGCTTTCTGAGAAATAAGGGCTAGGAAAGATCCCTGCCTGGGCCCTGGAGAATCTGTGCAACCTTTCTAGGCCTAAAGCACCTGATACCATGATAAAAGTGGTCTCCCCTCTCAGTGCCCCATTTCCTGCATCCATGAAGCAGATCACTAAGAACTGACTCAAATATTTAGGCACCTCGCAGTGCAGATTTCTGTGTAATGGCGCCACCTTACAGGATATACTTGTGGTAAGCTGGCTTGCTAAGGACAGGATGTCTAGCCTCGCTTTTTGCCTGACATGTTAGCTGTCTGCTTCTGGGGATATTTTGAAGTAGAGGGGCTTTCAGTCAGGCTTTCTGAAACAATCTAGTTGCTCAAAGGGCCCACTGTGTGTGTGCAGCTGTGGAGGCCCAAACCTTTGAGAGCTGGATGTGGAGGGCCAAGTCTTTCAGTTGTCTCAGAGAGCCTGGATGTGGCAGCAGTGACAGGTACAAGTGGGAGAGGTATGGAGGAGAATTACAGCACTGTCTCCTCATGCCTGTCTAGTTAGAACTAAGTCCCACTGAGTTCAAGGAGACTTGCTCCCAAAAAGTGTTTATCTCAAGGGTACTGATCTTCCGGTTCAAATTCCCACTGTGGCCCCCTAGGGTTTCTCGGTTGACCACTCCCCCTTCTCCTGCCCCCTGCACTTTCAGACTAATGATTGGTGGTTTCCAGGCTTTTGTACAGCTTTTTATCATTTTAAAAGGGTGAGATGTTGTTTCGAAGGCTTAGCTATTGGCAATAGGCGTGTAGCACTGGATATGAGGTATTTAAAGTACTTTAGCCCAACCTCCTTTTGCCTTTGGCCCCGCCCACTGCTGGCATGTGACCCCTGAGAGCATCTCTGAATTGGAATGGGGCCCTCAGTTTGGGCTCTCTGGTACATCAGGTTGCTCAGGCCAACACTCAAACTCTGGCCAGGCACTCACCTTGCTCCTTCTTGCATTATCCTTTCACAAAAGGGTTTCCTCCAGATTCTTGGATATTGGATATTATCAGCCCCTGACTGCCTAGCCAGTCATCAAGATAGCTGGAGCTGTAGTCCAAAACTAGGGGGACAGACTGGGGGAAGCTAGGCTATATAAATCACCTCTGTGAGACAGCTGTGATGTTGGATTTCCCCACAGGAATTGCTTATCAAGGACTTCCGTGCGCTGTGTACTACTGTCGAGAAAATGGGACTCATGAAACCTAATACTTCTTTCTTCTTGGCACTCCTTTTTCACATCTTGGTGCTGGACGCTGCAGCTGGACTCACCCTCTTTTATTTTGGAACATCTTTATTACCGTTCATTGCTTCTTTGGTGCTTCTTACCATAGCACAGGTAAGTTGCCATATTCACAAAATAAAGCCAAAGGCCACCCTGTGCCAGGCAGCTGAAGTGTGCTGGCTGGCTATCCGGTCCTGAAATCAGTTCTCTGTCTGGAGGTCACTGTTATCACGAGGGCTTGCTTTGTTTTGCTCCCATTGTTAATGGACTTCACTCCATCCTGTTCCTGTAGAATTTCTGCTTATCAGTGAATTGTGAGTACACTTACAGTTCGTAAGTAAAGTATGGTACCTCTCAGGAATTCATGGCTAGTGGCTGCTCTAACTTGCAACGACAATGATATCTTTTGAATTAAAGTCTGTAGAAGGGACTCTAAATGATGGCTATCATGGTACATCAGCCTGAGCTAGCTTTCTCAGCTGCCTCCCTTGCCTTCCAGGTTCAGGCTTCATGGCTCCAGCATGATTTGGGGCATCTTTCTGTCTTCCAGAAGACAAAATGGAACCGCCTGCTTCACAGATTTGTGATGTGCCATCTTATTGTAAGTGCTTGTTTCTGAGAACTTAGTAACAGAACTGGATGGATATGAAAAATAAACTCCCATGTTGGACAAGGTGCATAATACATATGTTGGAAATTGCAGAAGCACGAGCAAAACAAATTGTTCTGCATATATGTGTTACCATTTCTTTTACACGTTTAACCGACATGGCTACCTCTAAAGCAGGTGTGGGACTGCTGGCCCACAGGATGCCTCCCTTTGCCTGTGCACCGCATCATGGAGCCCAAGGATGCCGAAAGTGAGCTTGCCCAGTGTGGCGGCACCACCACCCTCACCCTGAGGCCATGCACAAGCTGAGTCTGACAGACCTTACCAGCTGAACAAGGCTCTATGGGGCCATTTTGATGCTCCCTTGACCCTGTCCCATCTCATGTGATGCCAGTTGGTTATCAGGGCTACCCACATTTCCACAGACTCTTTCAATGGGCAGTTTCTCATGGAAAAACACATGCCAGGAAGCAGAAGCAAAGTGCACCCCCTGCAGCATGCAGAAGGACCTCAGAGCCTGATGGAATGAGGCCCTGGGCCACATCAGGTCTGCAGACTGCTGTTTCCCACTCGGAGAGGCACGTGGCCCTCCAGAGCTTGTGGGACTACAGATCTCATCAGCCTAGCTGGCATAGCCAATAGTGGGTGTTTCTGGGAGTTGCAGTCCAACCTCTGGAGGGGTTGCACATGTCTAACAAATCATGCAAGGGTGCTGAGGAGTCTCTTAAACAACCCAGGCTCCACTATGCAGGACTAGAGTTCCTAGGATTTTCTGCGAACCCCTGCTAAAGTAAGTTAAATCTATAGTTCAGATAAGCATCTGGCATTTTCTGATCATCTTTTCAACAGGGAGCATCAGCCAGCTGGTGGAATCTCTTGCACTCTCAACATCATGCAAAGCCCAATTGCTTCTCCAAGGATCCAGATGTTGACATTCACCCTTTCTTGTTTACTTTGGGAAAGTCTCTGTCTGTGGAGGTGAGTGCCATGCTGCCTGCATGCCTTTTAAAAACAGATGCAAATTTATTTCCTTTGGTTCTGTGACATTTCTTAAACCACATATTAAACATTGACATGAGTCTCCAATTCACCTAGATTCTTTAAATGTGAATTGGATAAGTACAGATACTTCAGGTCCTGCATTTCTGAGAAGCCCATCCCACCGTTCTTTGTTGCCCTGTTGCATTCAAGCAGGGGCCAGTGTGTCATTTTAAGCCTCTTTTTGCACTAAGTGTGGAAATGTCTAATGTTGGCACTGTGCAGTTGGTTATTGTTATAGTTGCTGAAGGGAAGAGGACAGATGCAGCATGAGGAATTGTTTTTTTATCCCATGCAAGCATTTCACATATATTATGTCAAATGATGCCATTCAAACAAATTCTGGCATTCCCTCCATTTATATAATTATGGTTTGGAACTGGATCAGGCTTCAGTAATGTCAGATAAAATTTCACATTTGACAGTCCCTTCCCATGTTCTTAAGCCTTCTAAACAGGATCTTCTCATGTGCTGCAAAGCTATGGATAGGTAGTTTTCCTACAGAAGTAAATCTTGGTTTGTTAAAGTGAACCGGGGGTGGGAACATGGCAGTCAAGCCATCTAGAGAGCTGCAATTTACATACCCCTGAAGTAAATAATGCTATCTTCTCTCCAGTTTCAAAATGAAGGAAATCCCAATGCCCCCTCCCCCACTGCACTTATTTTAATTCCCAAAGTAAATTTATTGGAACCCTTTAGCTGATTCTTAAAGAAGGATATTTGACTGTGTTTGTTAGACACACATTAAGATGGTGTGCGGTCTGAGCAATGCAGCGAGGTATTCAACAAGTCTTAGAGAGACCACAAAGGTGCTTTAGAGTCCATGATATACCCTCTCCAGTACCTTCTTTTCCTGTGCTTTGCATTGTGCTGCTTCTCATTATTCTCAGGGCCTTTGGCTTCGGCTTTCCATGGAAATGGTCTCATGAATGGTGTGGATAAGGGGAGTGTTGCTGGCCATAACTCAGAGCTCCTCTGCAGCAAAGGGCATGCTGCATCCTGGGAAGGATGCCTTCTCAGCCTTGTTACGCTCCCTAAGCAGAACTACCTAGATGCTCCAGGAGAAAAAGGATCCTACTAGTGTCTAACTTCAAAAACCTGATGGGGATGGTGCTTGTACTAGGAAGAATTTTCTAATGGACCCTGAGAGACCCTGCTAGAGGACTTTGTACTGTAGCTGTGTGCAGAATGCCTGGAGCTCTACTCTACAGCAAAATGTTTGTGTAATGGCTGAGGTGTTTTCATACAGAGATGGTAGAAAGTGCCTCTATAATCATTCCTATGCAAGACTGGCTCCCCTTTCTTTTACAGCTCGGCACAAAGAAGATAAAGTACATGCCTTATAACTATCAGCACAAGTACTTCTCCTTCAGTGAGTACCTCTAGCTTCCTGAAAGATTATCAGTCAGAAGGTTCACATGGGTTATGGTGAATTCCCATGGGACCATTTCAACTGGCCATAGTACAATCAAGGCTTCAGAGCTGCAGTGGCACCCTGTGCCAGGCAGGTGGGCAGAGCCGTGCCTCTCTCTTCTGCTTTGCACCTTGGACAGACACCTTTTATGCTCCTTTAAGAGTTGCATTCAAATAACACTAGTGGAAAAGCACAAACACCTGCTGCCAATCAGTTACCAGGGTTGCACAAGTGCTAGCAGAGCAATTAACTCAATGAATTGTGCAACAGCTTGAACAATGGCCAGATATTGGATCTGACATTCGTACAAGTTACTGGGACTTTTGTGAGTAGCAGAAGCTTTGCTGTATAGGACATAATACAGCCTTAAGTTTTTGCTGAACAGTTTTGCACCCCCACTGGGGAATCAAGCTGCTCCATTGTGTATTTAGATTTGAAGTATGTTTTAGTAGTTACCTTGAAAGTCCCTTATGGGCCAGAGCTGGGTGCAGCGGATTGGAAGGGCAGCTGGTGCAGTGGCAGGGAATAGATATTAAACATGCAATCCTATGCATGATTAGAAAGCCCTTAGAGAGCTATTCAGTAGTGTATAAATTCAAAAATAAAATAAAGTCTTACAACTTCCAGTCTCCCCCAGCCAGCTATAATAGGATTTGTAGGATTTTTTTCTTTGCTGGTTGGGGAATACTGGGACTTTTTCTCTGTCTAAACATGCAGAGGATTGCACCTTAAACCACTTTATGAGACCAAAGTAATTTATGCTTCCCTAAATTCTTGGCATTCCATCATTGTGCTATTAAATCAATACACTTTCAGTGCCCTGTTGCCTTCTGCCCCAGGATAGTCACAATCTATATATCTTGCTAGTCTATCTCAATCATTCACTTATCTCCCCAGTACATCAGATTGCTTTTATGTTTTAATTGTACATTAATGTTGTGACTAAAGATGTCTTTTTCTTTTATGGCCTCTATCAGCTATGCCACCACTGCTGTTTCCAGTCTTCTTCCACTATCACACCTTCTATGTTGCTTTCAAGAAGAAGTTCTGGGTGGTAAGTTTTGCACTGTTAGGATTGCTGATTGAAGAGACAGAAGCCTTTGTGCTGATCATCTCCATGGATGCTATGAGAGCTAAGGATGTGCTTTGCTCCAAAAAAGGTGGGGTTGGGGGTTTTAGGAACAAATATTCCAGTTCAAAGGTTGCACATGAAAAATAAGACAAAATCAGAGTGTTATTCTGGCAATGGCTTTGAATTTAGAAATTTCATCAAATAGAATTGATGGTTTCACTTTTAATTATGGTGTTCTACCTGTAGAATCTAGAATTAGTCTACTGTTTCAAAGACACTCATTGACTTAGACAGAATATTTAAAATGGTACTTTAGGAAGGGGTAATTATTTCATTTCAGTTATGTTCATAGCTTGCTTCTCATCTGCCAGAAGCAGCTTATACAGGTAAACAACAGTGTTCTATAATTTAAAACCACATGAGGCTCCAAAACTACATGGCAGTAAGGCCATCTGCTATAAAACATTTAAAAATGGGGCCATGAAGTCCTCTCTAAAGGTCTTATAACAGTGGTCTTCAAACTTTTTCAATAGGGGCCAGTTGAAAGACTGCGGTGACCATCGCGGGCTGGTGAGGAGGGGGGGCCTGGGGGCACGGGCTGGTGAGGTGCTGTCGGGTGCGTGCGAGGCGGCATCGGGCATGTGTGGTGGCGGCTCACTCGGAGATCTCCCAGTGAGTCCAAAACCATCTCCAAGTGAGCAAGCCACCGCCTCCCTGCCTGCACAGCAAATGCGTGTGCGGGCGGGGAATGACTGCGTGGGCTGGATGGATGGCCATGGCGGGCCGGATCAGTCCCACGGGCCATAGTTTGAGGGCCCCATGTCTTATAACTTCAGAAAGCTTTCCTGTGAGCTCATTTAGTGGGCCTCCCTGGGCAAAGAATTCCTCAAAGAGGAGGGTGCCTGGCAAGAAGCCTGTGACTGCCCTTGGCGGAAGTGTGGAGCAGGGCATTTATGGTGCAAGGACCCTTGGCAGAGAGGTGGGGGAGAACCCTCTGCAGTCCCTCTTGGCAAAGGCGCAGCCAGCCAGAGTTGAGGGCAAATAAAGGGATGTACCCAGGAACACTGTTGAGGTGAGGAGAAACATCCTCTTGCTGCTGCTAGAGATCTCCATACTGGCTTCCATTAAACACGAAGGAATATTGGGAGAATGGAATGGACTGCTGATAACTGGCTTTTCTGCAGATAAATGTATTCATTTTGTTTCCAGTACTCTTTCATAGCAAAAGCTCTCAGAATGGTTTAAAGATTGAAATCACAAATAAAAAGACACAGCAGATAAATGCTTACATCAAATTACCAAATTGTATCAAATGACTAAAAGGCTTGCTTCCTAAAATTTGGAAGACATTTCCCTGTGAAATTTGGAAAATATTCTGTGCTTACAGAATATTTTAATAAGCAGGATTTACTCACACTGGCAGGACTTAACTGAAGAGCATCTGGAAAGTTTTTAGTGCACCGCTGATATAAAAGACCATAAGGAAAAACAGGAGCATGCACTGAGTCCCTACTGCATGTATCTCTCCTTTTGACAGTGTCTTAATTTCCCTTTTCATAGGATTTGGCCTGGCAGGCATCTCACTTCATCCGGTTGTTACTTGTGTATGGGTCCCTACTGGGAATAAAGAGTTTTCTACTATATTATTTCTCATTCAGGTACTTAGTTATGTATACTCTCAACTTCAGCTAAAGTTAATCACTGAACCTAAAATGTTTCACTGAAAGCAAACTTGGTTAAATAGTCAGTATCTTGTCCAGCTTGTCTCAACATGACCAGCTGTATCTGGCTGTTCCATTTCACTCTTCAAATCCCATGCTCTTCCCTCTCTTGCCTTTTAAATATAATTGGTAAGGGTTACTGTTCCAGAAAGGTTAGACAAACCTTGTATTATAGCTCATATCCTACAAAATTTATGAGATCACTAACAAATTATATATATCATGTTGGTACTGCATCCAAACCTGTATTACAAATTGATGTTGCAACCTTCAATCTGCCAAATGCAATCTTGTAATAAATTCAAATGCATGGAAAATTAATTAATTGGGAATAGCAGAAGGTTCACTTTCAATTTTGAATTGAGCAAGGGCAGAAAACTTTGAACCTAGCTAAAGGAAGGTTGGCTTGCAGGGGCTCTCTTTGGGAATCTGATACAGGATTAGGGGATTTACTGTCTGCTGTAGGAGTGTTAGATTTGCTCTCAGTGTTATCCATGTGCAGATAACTAAATTTTAAAAGTTCAACCCACTTTTTATTTGAATCAGGAGTTTTTAGACCTCACAGACCTTTGAAAAGAACTTAGAATTAGCACAAACTTTTCACAGTTTCACATTCCAAGTAGACTTTGTATGTTTAAAAAAAAGAAGCCTGGTCACAGATCTGTGCAATATTTTTTTCCAATTGATAGAATTAGATAGTGGTTTATGCTTAAAACTGTATGCTAAATGACTACTTTGTTTACTGTGCAGGATGATGGAAAGCTCATGGTTTGTCTGGGTATCCCAGATGAATCATATACCTATGAATATAGATTACGATAAGAACTTAGACTGGGTCTCCACTCAGGTAAGGTATTTTACCTCTAGCAATAGTGTGTACACTTTGTATCTTCACAAGTGTTAACATATTGGAGTTAACTCAGGCCAAATGGATACCAAATCAGATGCTTCTTAAACTGACATATTTAAACTGTAAGAAAAGCAGACCTCACTCTAGAAAATGAAGATTTACCTGAGCCATGAAATCACCTCAATGAAATCACCTTGGCTTGGAAGGTAGCAAGAATTCATGCTAATTTATGCATTCTAATTTTAGAAGAAGCATGAAAAGGGAACAACCAGAGGGCACTCAAACCAAAACACTTCATTGCCAAATTTCATTATGATGGGACTGGGATGGGCATCTTTCTTGCCTGCCTAGGGCTGCATGGGGTGGTAATGGTTGCCGGACTGAGATAGGCAGGCCCTCATGTCCCAACCCAAACAACCTGCTCCTCTTCATCAGGATCCTGATGGGAGGTAAGTTAAGCACAAGGGACAGAAAGGGAAAACATGTGAGAAAGAGAACAGGCAGCACATTTATATGAAGCTCAAGGATGAGAGGAGGTAATGTTGCAACTTGTTTTTAACATCACCTCTGCTGTTTTAAGCTGCTCTGTGTCCCAGGCCAGTAGGGCTTTTGGCAGGGTGGAAACAGATTTGAAATGATTATCATTTACAAACTAAGGAATACATAACCTTGCTTTTAGTAGTGAACTAGCCTCTCTGCATGCTGAGTTCATTCAAATGCTGGCATAACAACATCCACGGTCACCTTATCATCTGTGTAATTTTATTCATTTCAGCAGTGTAAGGCTCCACAAATACCCAGTATCAGAAAGTAAACTTTATTATTGCAACTACAGCAAGGTCTTTCATGGCTTTTGTGTGGACAAAATTGAAAACTATGGACAAAAATATTAAGATCGAAAGCAATGTTGTTGATCCTAAGGAGCCATCTCAGAATTTCTCCACACTTCAGTAGAGGAACATGACCAGACTTTCCTGTTGCCCATAACAGATGCACTCCACAACAGAGCATCGAGCCTCCAGAATAAATGCAAGGGCTATCCAGATTCTGAGGAATAGTACCAGTGAGAAAAGGGCAGTGAGAAATGGGAGTGGGCATTACAGCTGATGTGGGAGGGCCTCTTGGAAACGTGTGGATGGCAAGTGGCTGATGCTTGCTATCTAGATGGTTATGATAATTATGGGAAGGACTAGGGACAATGAGAGCTACCATTCTGGAAAACATCTATTCCATTCTAGCTTCATTGCTCATTTCAGCTCCAGGCAACATGTAATGTTGAGCAGTCCTTGTTCAATGACTGGTTCACTGGGCACTTGAATTTCCAGATTGAACACCAGTAAGTATGGATTAAAGAAAATGTTTGCTATGTACACTGCAATGGGGGGGGGGGACTTAGCATGTGAAGCACACCTTACATTGGTTGGGTTTACAAAATGAGAACCCATAATCAAAGTTCAGTATGGTTTGTAAAAGCATGCATTGTTGTGTGAACTCAGCCATGCTAGTACGCTATGGTACTTGACCTTGGTTTATTTTGCCTGAACCCAGGCATTGGAGCTGTTCACATGATATAGCAGTCCATTGCAGTTGCCATTTGCCATGTGCTGTGCACAATTGGGATGCTGGGTCATGCAAACCTAACAAATGTAAGTTATGTGAACTTTACCAGACCCCATGCTTTCTGAGATTGCATGTGGAATCTGGTGTCTGCAAGACATCTTGAAATTGGGGGGTTTTTTTCAGTCTTTTCCCCAGGATGCCACGACACAATTTCTGGAAGGTGTCCCCGCTGGTGAAGTCACTGTGTGCCAAACATGGTATTGACTACAAATGCAAGTCTCTGCTGACAGCCTTCGCAGATATTCTACAGTATGTATAAAAGTAGAAATTCAGAATGCTGGTCAAGATGATAGACGTATAGTGAAGGCTTATTTTGTAGGAGAGATGGGGAACTTATGCCTTCCACATTCTGGGCAGTATCCAAGTGTCATTCAGCAAATTCAAATAGCAGAAGCAGATCTTCACTGAATTTTTATGTTCATAATTTACACAAACAGTTGCTCAGCAAGTTGCTCAAGAGTTATACACAATGGATCGCAAAAGCAAAATGCATAAGCACTTGTGCAATTAAAGCTTAACAGTTGTTTAGTTCAGATCATGCAAAACTATTTGTGCTAACAGAATGACAATTTATTTTATTTATTTAAAGCATTTATGTAACATTTGATTAGCGTAATGCTCTCAAAATGGTTTACACAATATACTGTTGGATACTATTCGAATACAACTCC